AATGAAAAATAATATACAAAGAAAGAGAAAAAAATTGACTTTTATTTATTTACTATTCTTTGGCAAATCAGATGTAAAAGAAGAAATATATTCAACTGTAAAATATTTACTTTGAAAGTCCCCAGTATCAGCCACAACTGTAGTAACCTTTTTCAGTTGCTCCAAAACGTTGACCATCTCTTTTTCGCCTTTGAGAATTAAATTTTACTTCTTCGTAAAAACTGAAACAAAAAAGTAAGTGCAGGCAAGATACATGCGCTCATAGCCTAACTGACACCACAGCTGATTGAAGACTGCACTAAACAGCGGTAAGCCATAGATTGCGGAAGTTGTCAAAAATCAGCTCAGAATAACAGATAAGAAGCCAAACGAAATTCAAACACAAATATTGGAATTGCAATAATTATTTTCGTAAATTGTAAGCTCTGATGCTGAAAAAAAATACAGAAGAAGACAATTTTAGATAAGAACAAATTAACATGTTTCAATATGTGACAAAATCAACAGAGAAATTGTGAAGAAAAAACTCTCTTTGTGTTCATAAAAGGGATTAACTTAATAAACAAACTTTGCAATACTAAATGATAAGGAAAAATTTAAGCTGTGATAAAAAACAATTACTCTTCAAAATTCTACATTTCACCGTCAAACCAGACCAAATTAGTTTAATTATAATTAATTAAAAATTAGAGACTACAGTTAACAAAATCAAAAACCAATGATTGTTTTCTTTTTGCTAAAGCTTGATCAGATAACTTTGGATTAGCATCTGTCAATGTTACGTCAGTTTTACATCAAGTTCAGCTTTATATAAAAATCTTAAACTCAAACAATTAACACGGAAGCCGCAGATTCCTGTTTCACAAGTCAATAAAATAAATTTGCACAAACAGAAAAAATCTTCCAACTGCACAATATTTATGTTTAAACAGTTGAAATAATTCTGAAACGACAGTGAAACATCAGCATTAAGTTATCCCAGAAAAGAAAGAAAAAAATTTCAGGCATTTAAGAATAACATATTTGGTCTTCAAAAAGAAACCAAAATACCAATCGTTTTTGCATTAATAATCGTATTATCCTCTAGCAGGAACAAAAGCAAAACAAAAGTGCATTACACCTTAGCTATCTAATACATTTAGGCAGATCTATTAAGAAAAGGTGACAAAGAAGAAACTGTTCTTTACAGAGTCTGCTGGAGTAGAAATGTGGTTCAGTTGGTATACAGAAGGAATGTGATTGTACGTGCCCCACCGCATCCGTTTCGCAAATATGCACGTTACTGTTACCTTCATACAACGCTACTGCTATTACCCACCTTTAATTGCATACCCAGGTCTCTGCTTCGTAAATAATAAATAATCTACACAAACAAAGACACACACAAAAAAAAAAACTTTTTTCAACAAACTTTATTTGCAAATCAAAACTCCTTCTATGCATTTTTTTTAAATAAAAATTAGAAAAGACAAAAAAAACTTGAAGACAAGAATAGATTTTGTTAACATAATGAAAAAAAGGTATACAAGTATTTTTTTTTTCTTGAATTTACATTAACTTTTCCAATCGTAATTGTAAATTGCTTCAACAGATATTTTTATGTTATCATTTACAATCAAAAACATCATTTCCCAAAACATTTTCATTGCTTATATTTGCATCATTAAAATAATTTAAAACAATTCAACTATAAACGATTCATATGTACTAGAAAGAAAGTAACCCAATTGTTACTCAAAGAACTCTAGCGCAGCTAATACTACTGGTGCTAAACAGTTGAACTACAAAACGTTTGAGCAAATTTTATCAACAGCAGTTCCCAGTGACGTTTAAGATCTTTTTATAACCATCAATCCGGGTAAATATTCAAGTAAAACTGAAGAAATAAACAGAGCAAAAGCAATAACAAGAGATATATATCTGTATAAACTGTATATCACAGTGGAAATATTTCAACAACTTATTTCAGTTGCTGATCGACAAAAAAAAGAGCAATTTTAAAAACCTCATGATGCATGAAACAACAAAAAGTGATAAAAATCACAAAAACCAGAAAAATTGTTAAATTCCAAAATTATGAAATTGCCACCGATAAAAATTAACTTCTGTCTTCTTTACTTACTCTATAAACTTTCAACTTTCAGAATTCTACCCTCCCCCCTCCCCCTTGTTTTGTAACTTTTGTTTTTACTTATTTAATATTTCCTTGTAACAATAGATTTTCTCATTCAATTCGGCATTTTCTAAAGTTGAGAAGAAAAGAAGAGAAAAATTGGCACAATTTTTTAAGATATTTTATTGCCGGATAGTACAGCTGAAAAATATTGATGCATTTTTTTGAGTTAGATTTCCTGGCTTTATCTGAGTCAGAAACGAGTTTTTCGTATTTGACTGAACCTTTCAAAATTTTATTTGACTTGATCAAAAAAAAAAAGTAATATAATGATGACAAACTTCAGCGACGGCGAATTGTTCACAAGAAAAAAGGAGGTACAGAAAAGTTTAAGAAAAATTACAAAACAAAAATGCGTTTCTCACCGTTGTAAGTAAATAACTGCAACTTTAGACTACACTTTTAGAAAACAAAGCTTCATAATATTTGTGAAAGAAAGCGCACATATAACGTTCGAATTGATTACTTTAATTACTATTTAGACACTACGAAAAAGTTTTTGTTACAATTAGTTTTCCTGTTTTAGCTAAAATACTGCCCTGTTGCCAGCTTTTTTTCAGAATCCTTAACAGCAAATCCAAAAATATTTTAGAGACAGATTTATTCTTCCATATTCAAATGATTATACTAATAGCATGAGTAACAGAATGAGATGATTAAATACAGAAATAAATGCAGAAATTAGAGGTAATAAAAAGCACTCAATCACCAAACAACTTTAAAAAAGGTTCTTGATAAAGAAAAAAAAATGAAACAGCTGCTAATAAAATTAAGAAATATACTTATTAGCAAAATACAGGCTTTTCATATGTTACTAAAATTACCTCCGAGCTATCATATCAATTTTTCTCATTTATGACCAAAAACCTGCAAAACACTCTGTAAAGTCGTAGCTTATCAAAACTAAGCAAAAGTTATATCACGTTCTTTTCAACTGTTCTACACTTACTAAAGTGGCACAAAATAAGTTTTAATAGCAGAATGAAGTTATTTCTGCTCTTGTTGATGCACATCAGTAAATTTCCTCTTCACACTTGAGTATAACTTTTTCTCCTTCGTTCTCAGCCGTTATTCAATGCCATAACGGTTTTGAGACACAGACAACTACGCATTCCCACGAAATTCGATCAAACCGCCTCATGAACATGAAAAGATTTTAAGAATAAACATAGAAGGCAATATAAAATGAGAAGATTCTAAAAATAAAATCTTTGGAAAAGCTAACCTCCACAGTAAAAAAGTAAAATTCAGGATAAAAGACTGCATAAGACCACTGTAGGAAACCAAGCACTTTTAGCGCAAGCGTGTTTTGCCAGTAGCCAGCTAATAAAGAATAGCAACGAAGGAGGTTCCGAAGAACAACTTATTAAAAACTTATTAGAAGGTAAAAATTTAAAGGTTCAAAAAAGAGATGTAAACTGAAACAACAACATGACAGTGAGTTGTAAAAACAGAATCAGAACAAAGTATTACAAAGAAGAATCACAAATAGAACACCAATCACAAAAATATAGTCAAATTAGAAGCAATCCAAGATAAGCAATTGAAACGCTAACTGAAAATCTACTCAAAAACTGCAGATCACAGTTTACAAAACTAAGATCGAAGCGGCGAAAAACGTCTATCCATCAACAAAGTCTGCTTAAAAAAGTGGTAAAAAGCATAGAACACTGTGCACAAAGACATGATCAAATGAGCGAACAGTTAGCAGTGCCGTCGGTATCCGTAATTTCTCCAGCAATCACACCTATCGTCCACTTTCTCATCATCACGCAACAAAGCAATAAACGCTTTTTTTGAAATATCAGAGTTGATCTTTAAGTAAGTACGTGACTGACGGCT